TCAGAAGTCCACAAAAGCACTGAACATACCTGTAAACCGAACATATGTCAAGCAAATCATTTATTTTACGTCACTCTTTACCACACCTCGATGTAGTAAGCGGATGCGGTCCGGCTGGTAGCAACGGGCGAATGGATTTTAGTTTTCCCTCTCCGAATTCCATGAAACTTTGCATAATTGTTCACTTAGAGCAATGAACCACGTTTGCGTCAGAATCCGACCATTTTGACTCACGCTTAATTTTTCAAAATTGCGTTTTCGATGTTTTTCAATAAATCATAGCACGAAAATGATTCAAACAGGGGGAACGACACTCATTCATATGCATTTTATTTCAAAAGAGACTAGGCAGCACTGCTATGGCATGCAAGCAGGATAGAAATAATAGACTGGAATAGACAGAAGGATAAACAGGGATGTTCAGGATATCTTGCAAAAAATAGACAGGGCTGCATAAAATTAGAAAAGGAATGCTTGGGATAGTAAAAATCTAATCTAATCTAATCTAATCTAATCTAATCTAATCTAACACCAACACAGCCAGTTCTTGAAAGCATTCTGGAAAATGATACATATACCTACATCATTTTTCTTGTCTATTTGATATATGTTTCACATCGAACATGCGTCACACATATCAAAATGGTCGAGCCTACTGTGCAGCATTTAAGGGGCAAGCTGATTCAGAAAACATCGGGCCTGTTTAAATCAAAGATTTAAACACGATGCTTCAGAATCCAATAAATGGATGAAACGTGAACATCTCGTACCGTACGTTCCGATTTTGGTATTTATATGATTGGTTGGTGATGCTTAAGTGATGCTCCAGTTTCTTTTGACGGTTGGGTTATGAGCACTAACTCTTGTCCTAGCCTTTTATGATTTATGGCTATAGCGCCATTACTCGCTTTCTGAAAAGAGAAGAGAGAAAGGAAAAGGATAAGGATCTATGAGCATGAACAATATTTTTGATTTGAAATATACAATATATAAATGCATAACGGCGCGTTGATCACTACCCGAGTCTTGTCACTATTATTAAGTCATAAAAAGTAACAAGGACTAGAATGTGATCCTTTGATTACTGGAAAACACTGATTCCCTAGATTGAAGTTGTCACGACTAGGGTTCGGTGGTAGATCTTATACCAATAACGCCCCACAAAAAGGTGATCTCCCAACGTTACTGGTTTGAAGAGATAAAAATTCACAAAATGGAACGAACTCACCAAGTTTAGCCAATTGAACCTGAAGGCTGCCTGACATGTGTTGATGTAGAAGCCCAAATTGTAAACGTAGTTTGGTTAGCCGGTTTATGGTAGTTGCGCGGAATGTCTTCCTTCGATTTGAAATAAACAAATGTTCGGATGTATGTAGTCGATTTTTGATGTGGATTGGCAAACCTTTTCGTGGCCAAAAGTCTGGTTCAACGCTGCGACTCAACCAATGATGGAACTAATGATGGAACTAATGATGGAACGCCTCGTGGAGGTTCTACTTAGCTTCGAAACAGCTTCGAAACAGCTTCTCAGCGGCAAATAGTAGGGACCTAGAATGATGAACTAGAAATTGTCTCCTGGGCCTGGTTACGGCCAGATCAGTAACCGATTATAGATATATATAAAACTCCACGGAAAAAAAAACAAACGTCAGGTTCGAACACACGCACAACCTACTCTCCTCTACCGAAAAGGAATGCCTGGAATAGAAAAAAAATGGAAACTTGAAATTTTCTGATGATGGAGGATATGTCATTCCCCCTAGGTTCATCTCATCGAAATAACGTCTGAGACAAAGTTGTACACTAATAGAATTCCACACATTTTTATTGACCGATTTCCATGTAAAATTCCACATGATTTTCATGTGACTACACATAAACAGAATCCACCCAGAAGCACACATGAAATTTATGAGTCAAATGAATAATATATGTGATTACACATGGCTTTTATGTGTACACATATTAAGTATTGTCCGACACATAGATATCATTTGTTGATCACATTGCAAAAAATCATGTGTAGGACACATAAAAACAATCTTTGAAATTTTATCAGTGAGGAAACTGGAACTTTTCAGACAAAAATACATACTGAAACAAAAATTTACATAAACTGTTGAAAACTACAACTTTAAAAAAATGGTACATTTTCAACAGTTTTAAGCTTTCAATTATCAAAAATGCAAACTTGTCTGAAATGGACACAATGGACACTTCAAAATTTACCAAAATCGTAGAACATCAGCTATTAGAACAAAGATTGAACTTTTTTTTTAATAATTCGTTTATTTTTCCAGGTTAAGGTTGAACTTTGATCATAAGGTTAAAAATCTTAAAAATGTACTTTTTTAGTTATTTAAGTTTTCAACGTGGAATCGATAAATATATTGTGTTTTATTAAATCTGTCAATAAATCAGCAAAAAGTTTGAACCAAGACAGGATAATAATGAAACAAAAAAGATACTTGGAATAGGGCACTGGCCATTTAAATATATAAATATATTTAAGACAAATAAATAGTTTCTTATTTTATCACTTAAAGGTTGAATACGAAAAAAAATCCGGACACATTGAAAACGCTGCCATTACGGCATTTTTTAGTAATTCTTTTCTAAATTTCACCGAATCAACCTAGGAGTTTATATAATCACAGTAGGCATTGGTTGTCAGGATAAGTTCATTTGTTTACATCATGGCTTCACCGGAGAAGGCATGTTACGATTCGATCCTGTACGCTCGAAATGAAAATCAACGAAACCTATTGCCTGGCAGTTTTAGATCAAATGTCTTGGACAGGAATTTTATACCTCGGTTGACCGCAAGAGTGCCCCGGAAATTCCCCAAAAAGTTCCTTGTCTGGCAACCAATCTACAGTTTTGGGTTGAAAAGCCAAACTTTCGTTACTTCTGGGACCATGAACCAGCAAATTTACCAGGATGAGTGTCTACGAAAAAAAAAACTACTCCCTTCTCTGGAGCAGCATGACGTGGATTGCCTGTTCTGGCCGGACTTGGCAAGCTGTCACTACTCAAATTTCACCAAACAGTGGTACAGCAAACATGGCGTCACAGTGGTTCCCAAGGAGATGAATTTGGTCAATACTCCGGAACTAAGGCCAATTGTGGGATACTGGTCAATTTTGAAGCACATATTGAAGAAAAAAAGGTGGAACTGCAATTGACCTGAAGGATTTCAAGTGCAAATGAAATTTGGCAGCCAAATAAGTGGGAACAGGGCTCGTGCAAAATATGATGGGGCATGTACGAAGAAAAGATCGAGCAATTCTCACCCCAGCAGGCCTGGGTTCAATCCCAGTCGGCGCCGCCGGGATGTTCTGAGGCATAATATCTCTGATCACGCCTTCCTTCGGATGGGAAGTAAAGCCGTTGGTCCCCGGTTCATGAGTTGATGAGTCGATAGGTAGGGTCCAGGTGTGGGAGCTGCCTCCCTGGCGTCGGTAGCATTGGTGCTCAGCACGGAAAACAAGATCGACGGAAAACAAATCAAAGAAAAAAAAAAAAAAAAAAAGATCGAGCAATGGCTTATGGTAAGAAGGAAGACAATGGTCTTACAAAAAACATAATACCTACTAATGAACTATGAACATTAAGGGGGTAGTCCACTCTGGAAATTTCAAAAAATCTTTTTTTTTGCTTAAATAATACTTTGGAATGTCTACGTTGACATAGACTTGACCGCAAGTCCGCAAGTGACATCGTTCCAAAGTTATAGGCCGATTAGTGGACTCGTGTCCAGACGCTCCAAGCGCGCTCAGGTGAGCGCTCGGAGTACCCGCCCGTTACCGGCGAAACGGCGTGTCTTAGTAGTTCCAACTGCTGCCGCGATTATCTCTAAACGATGTTTTCAAAATTAGCGTACGCTGTATTTTAGAAACGGCTCATTCGATTTAAACGGCGATTGAATTTTCGAGTTAAGTACCTTTTTTTCTAGTCTTGTGCGTAGCCGATTTTCAAAAGAATCAAAAATGGATTTTTGGTGCAAGCTTTTATCTCCAATTTTAGGGTACAAAAACGGACTGTTTTTTTTTTTTCAAAACGTAGCCAAATTTTTATTTTTCAACCAAATCAAAAACGGCTACATACAAGACTGGTGGACTCTAGTGGTGTGACCGCCAGACGTCCCACCCTGCGACGACTCAGACGGGAGGTCTCCTGGGGAACCTGGTGCAGCGACTACAGGAGACATCCAATCGCGCCAAAAAAAAAAAATCTCAATTAAAGAGGACATTTCAATTGACAAAACCATGCATTTCTTTTTTTGAATTGATCGTTATTTACCCTCAAAAAAAATTCGTGAAAATGACCTATTTTACATGCCGCCAGAGTGGACTACCCCCTTAAAAAGCATTTTTGAACCCCAACGAGATTTTCGTGTCCGGATTTTTTTCGAGTTTAACCTTTACTAGCAAAGGCGTTTCAAATTATAGGAACAAATGACATTTAGATGATTTTTCGCACTGTACCTACATTAGTCTGCGGGTTGCGTTATGGCCGAAGACGCCACATTTCGAGGTCTAAATCGATTATTTAAAAACCATAAACTCTAAAGAAAATAAATCCTTTCTATTAAATAATCCCTCCTAAAGATACCTAACCCCTAGAGCTTGTGGTTTTTGTGTTATCGATTTTCGTCGTGAAATTTTACGTTTTAAACCATAGCGGGTCGGTAGGGTTACCAACCAAACTTCCACCAAAGCATGTAACCTCCGAAGTTTAAAAACAAACAAAAACCCATTTCAGAACCTACTAATTTAAGTTACATAAGAAGCTAGTTCGGTAACCCTACTGACGTCGAACCTCGCTCCACCACCGAATCCAAATAATGTTGCAAAAATTCCAGCCCGTCTCTAATCGTTTCCGGTTTTCCAACTGGACTCTTGTTTTCTGTTTCTTCCACCAATCCGAAAACATAAACACTCGCTGGCTGTACCATGACCATCAACATCAACAACGACGACGACCAATGGCAACAACAGGGTGATTTAAAAGATTTACGTATTATCACCGGCCCGTACGGTTATTTATCACAATGTGAACTAATGGATGCACAATGCCCCACCTGTGGGCAGTACTTAGAGTTAGAGAATGCTTTACTAGATTTAAAAGAAATGATTACGCATTTATCAAGAAGGGTGAGTATTGGATCCGCTACTGTTGTTTGATTTTGTAAACCATTTGACTAACCTATGTGCATTCTCCATTAGCTAGTGGCTGCAGAGCAACGCGTTTCGAGTATAGAGGAATGTGATTGTAAAAAATCATGCCTAATTAATGGTACAAGTAAAAACGATGGTGATATATGGGATATAGGTTGCAGTCAGTGTAAATGTGAGCGTGGTGAAGTCACGTGTGGTCCAAGACCATGTCCAGAGGTTAAGTGTAAACATCCAGTATTAGAGGAGGGTGAATGTTGTCATAAGTGTTTAAGTAAGTATCCTTCCCATGTATCGTAGAATAAGCCTTTCTCGTCACCACCCATCAAGATTCAATTTCCCGAACCATATTTCACACCGTTAGCACTCTGTCCTCGTTTACAGCACAAGATTTCCAATTTCATCTGCATTCACTGCAAGGCGACGATACTGCAAATCGATCATTATCAAACGACTAAACACTAATCCTTTATTTTACGATGCCTCAATTAATTAACAATTCATTGTGCTGCGTTGTTCGTCTACGACAACGACGACAGTCTCCGAATGGGTCCCGCTCGTGTAGATCTTCGATCCCCCACACACCGTACGAGTTCGTTTTATTACCTCTAGATTATTTTATATCTCTTAATAAACCTCCACCGGGAGTAAATGCACACGCGAATGAAATACTACCATCTTTTACGATCGTACGTGCATTTCAAAGTTTTACGGCCCCACACACAAACACAATAAACTTCCATTACTATACACCGCCAGGAGCCGGGCTACTCCCCCCCCCCCCCCCCCCCACGTAACTATCGTGTACCTGTCAATAAATTGTCATACGCTCGTTACGGTGCTCCTCCTCGCTCCGCACGCATCCCACTCGTCGTCCGGAGAGATGAGGTTTGAATTTTGCATTTCACATCGTCATCATCGCGCGGCCAGTTCGGTATCGGTCGGTAAAGGTACTTAGCAGGAACCCATTCTTGGGAGCGACGGATACCGTCGTCCTCGTCGTCGCTGTTGTTTTAAGTGAGACATTAGAAACTACCTGTCATTTGGTTCGGTTGGACTTCTGATTACCTGGATATAATACAACGACACCCCCAAAGGCGGCGAACGACGACGGAGGAAATGGTTTTGGCATTGAGCTTGATGGGTTTCGGTAATGAGAATTAATAGTCCAGCGTAGATTTCCTGAGAAACGTAACGGCATGACTATTGCTGATTTACAGTTGGTTGGGTGGAATATATGGTACGGTATCAATTCCGAGGAAAGTGCTGATTCTGTTGGAAGATAAGTGAGGAATGTTGAATTGAGACAATGAAGAAAAAAGGCGTTGGGATATAACGAGAAAACTATAATGCCATCAATTTTAATAAGCACCCGATTTGATAAGAAGATACATTGCAAAATTTCCAAATTCTAAACTACTTTTCAAGAAAATCGTCAGCTGGCCTGGGTTCAATCCCAGTCGGCGCCGCCGGGATGTTCTGAAGCATAGTTTCATCTGACTTCCACCAGAATACTCATCCGACCTCCTCAATGGTTCATCTGGATTACCCAGGAAGTGACTTAAAATTATTCAAGCTCCTCCGGAAATTGCTTTCGACTATTCTTTGACGTTTTGTTCAACGGAATATTGATTGCACGGTCACTGAATAAAACTTATATTTGGATTGAGTTCACTAAAATTCGCAAATTCATAGGTCACTCATAGACACTCATATGAGTAAATTTCACTCATATATGAGTTCAATTTTAATCGGTCCTATGAGTGACGTAAATCAAATATGAGTTAGATTCAAAGGCCGTGTGTGAAATGTTGTCCACGTGTACCATTATTTCGAAAACGTAACAGAACAACGAAATAGTATCTTTAAGAGTTAGATAAAACCTGATTATGAAAATCGGCAAATTGGGTTCTTTAGGGGGTTTAAGGTAATTGGAAATTCGTAATCTGCATCACAAATGGAACCGAAATCCAAAATTCCATCAATTTTGGAACGCTGGAACTGTTTTAAATAAGTGTGATTACATAAGCAACAATCACCATCTTAGCGCCCCTCGGTGGTACTTTGTATGATGATGTACAGAAACCGATATATTTTTCAAAATTAAAGAACCCAATTAGCTTTATCATCGACATCCAATCGCTGGTACCGTACCATACCCCAACAAATCAAGCGATTTTTGCTTATGCATTTCATTCAATAACGAGTTTTTCATACTTACCTTCCTCTTTCCAGAAAATTGTTATATTAATAAGAAAGACTATGAACACGGCGAGAAGCAGATCCTAGGCTGTCGAAACTGCTCGTGCATAAACGGCAATATGATGTGTGAAAGACTGGAGTGTCCGGAGCCCAAGTGCCCGACGGAGCAGCGAATATCGGTGCCGGACGATTGCTGTAAATATTGTCAAGGTATGGTCGGCGACAGTCAGTATCCCCGTCAGTACTATCCGGATCCCGTCAGGGTCAACGCCGACGGTTCATTCTGGCCAGCATCGACGCTGGCTCGCACTGGCACTGACGAGGAGCTACAGACGGAAGTTGAGGCGGAGGAGCAGGAGGAGGAAGAGGAGCAGGAGCAGGGACAGAGGCGACTGCTTATCCTAGAATCGGACCAGCTCCGATCCAGTGTCGCTATCCTTGGCCAACCCGATGTAAACGGCAACAGCAATAGTCATGAATCGTTTGGTTTCGCCATAGGGGAAACGAACCAGCGTCAATTTGAACAAGACCAACTCGAACTACTCGATGAGGTCGAGGTCAATGAAGTCGAGCAGGACGAGCTGAGAGAGGCCAGTTTCGATACCAAATTTGTTGAAGATCGGGACGATCGATAGCCCACATGCTGTCCCATTAGAAATTGTTATTGTTACACGTTTCAATTGATTAGGAAATTTCTAATATTCCCGCGGAAGAGATACGTTGCATTGAATCCTACCCTGTTGATTCATATAGTTCTCAATCAGGTCTCACTGTACTTGGTATAATGTATTTTAACATTGTCTCTCATTTCTTCTCGTTTCTCTTCTTTTCTCTTCCTGCATTGTGCAACTTTTGCTTGTTAGAAGATGTTACAATCTATTCTGAATCTCAAACAGATCATTCCAAAATTTGTTCCTAAACGCTTTGATTAATTTGTGACCTATTGCTGGATGCTAACAAACTGCTCCATGAAATAATACCTCCAAGAAGCTTCTTAATCTTTTCACAGGTTTCGTATACTAATATTAATCGATTTCCGTTTTGTTTCTGCTCTTTTCCCTCCAAAATAAACTTGCTTTCTTCAAAAACTATGTCCTCCTAAACGGGACCACAAAACACAAAATCGGTACCTTACGACGTGCTTCTTCTGCTACCACCCTGCTACCCTGCTGAATGTTTGTCTTGGCCACTTCCATTCCAACGAAACGATTCCATCCCATCGTGAATTCATCATCCCGCAAAATTGGCTGTGCGTGCTGTGCTTTCGTAAATAATAACAAATCAACGCCAATTGGGCTATGTACTACTTGCTAAACCTAACATCGTCAAAACAATCTTCCCATCATCTTGGACTAACAAACAACCAACGCGCCACATAACCATGACCCTTTCGGCCAAATCTCCGGGGTTGAATGAACCTCCGCTACTATTTCAACGCTTTCGGCCTGATAACTATCGAAATTCCAGGAGTGGACTATTGCTCAAAGGGTCACGCATGTCATACTAACGCTACGTGTCTTAATCTTAACACCAAGTACACGTGTACCTGTCGCTCGGGCTTCCACGGAGATGGGTATGATTGCTCTGGTAAGTGCTTACTCATAATCTTATCAACTACAATAAATCTCATTTGTTATTTTTTTTTCTCCTTTATCGTAAACCAAAATCATTCCTAATTAGAGTCTCATCAGTGAACTTTAACCTATAAAACGCATTCATTATCTAATCCGGGTGAGATACAGAACCTTCTCATATTGGGCTTTTTCGATGAACACACAAAACGATAACTCAGGTGACACACAGGAAACACTTCTAACCGTTGAGTCTCGTGCCCCGAAAATACACCTCCAGGTCGGGGGTCAACAACACTAAACTGAACCACATTAAACAAACACACATTACACACTCACAAACACCTACCAACCAACACACCAGGTATTGCATTCTAATCAACACCATTGTAACCAATCAACTCCACCAACTAAAAAAAAAAGAATAAAGCCACAATCATCATAATAATCATAATCTCTTCAGCTCCTTCCCTCTCCGGACTCGTGGAGTGAAATGCTTCTTTAACACTCTACCAAAAATAATACCAGAGCTACGGGAGAACAGCATATTATTAACGAAATGGAAAAGTTCACCCCTGAAACCTCAACATCACCCAACTCACCTGCGCGCACAGCAGAAAGAACGCCATCATCGCCATCATCATTGTAACCACAATCAAAGGCAGAGTGGGAAAATTGGGTTAACATGGAATTCTAATAACCATCTCCCGACTCCTATGGAAAGCCACTTACAAACCCACTTACCACCACACTTTTCATACATATACAGACACGGGATCATTTCAACGTGTAACTCTCTCGTTCTGCTCCGCACCAAAGTGGTTGCCCGACCCACGACACTAACGGGCGGGAAATGGTAGTAATTAGGCGGCCATTTACGCGTTAGAGACCATCCATTAATGATGGAACATATTATTGACCCCCCTCGTTGCGTATTTTGCTCTATGCTATACAGGGCCGGTCACAACGTCTGAATTTAATGCTACGTCATTTTTGCATATTCCCTTACCGTTCCCTTTAGCTGCATCAACAACCCTGTCAATCATGGTTGAATTGAATCAATTCGTTTGAACAGAGTAAACTCAGCTTCGTTAGCATATTTTCCAGAATCGGCTCAGAATGTCACCCTAGAAAACTTATGGAGGCGCCTGATTACTCATGATTCAAGTTCAAGTGTTTCGCAGCAAACTTGTGATTTTCCCCTAACATTTTCATTTTCTCCATGGGAAGAAAAAGTTTCGGTGGCTAAGTGGTATAAAAATGATTTAAAAACGCTAAACTACCTTCGGAAACTGGAAAACGATCTCAAAAGCCGACTGCTCAGCAAATCTGCAGAATCTTGTAAATTCAAAAACAGCGCTAGAATCGAAAAAAACTGATTTGATAAATGTACTTACACAGCAAAAAAATAATTTTGATATCACGTCAAAGTGGATGCACTACAATCATGTCGAAAATATGGTGTAATATTACTTGCTAAAAAGGACAAAATTATCATTAATACAATGCATGAACTGACATTACGCTGCTTTTACTGCATTTGTTTATTTATGTGGTCATAAAAATTACATGAAATTTTCGACATGATTGTAGTGCATCCACTTTGATGTGATATCAAAATTATTTTTTTGCTGTGTAAACTTCAAACTTGCCATAAAATGTCAGAATGGCAATCCAAAATCAGCCTAAAATCATCAAAGTGACCTTAGAAGCGCATACATTGTCGTATAAACGCTAAAACTCTCATTTAACATTGAAATGGGCATGGAAAAGTTGCCCCTCTTCGCCCTTTCGTCCCGTTTTTCGTATACCTAATGCTATGCTTATCAAAGATGTATAACCCTCAAGCGATTCCAAATCTAAATAATTATCCTTAGATCCGTAGCCAATTATACAGATGGCCCCTTGCCAAATTCCCACACCTACTCATCACTTGCAAAAATGTTGACATCTACAGAATTAACCGCAAAGGAATCTGACATCACTGTTTCCCCTTTAGAAAAATTACACGAGGAATTGGGTTGACGGCAAATCTGTGGCTCTTTACTCCTATGGTAAAATCCATAAACAAACGTCAGACTGTGCGTGAAACATGGCGGACTTCGTACTATCCTTTCACTCCACCGAAAAATCCCATAAGAAAATGTCAATCTTTTCTAGAAGAGACGATTTTTCGACGGTGCCGTCAACGCCAATACGATCATGACTTTTCATAGCGATCTGAAGTGATGCGACCAGTGCTGATAAAAATCATTCCTTCTACACTCAACATAGCTGAAAATGAAGACAACCTTAACAGATAGACCAACTACCTGCATGAATCTGAATTTTGACATAACAACATTCTCTTTATCAAGGCAACCTCTGAGAATTGTTGTCTACATTTCTAGATAGAGCTGGAATTAGGGCGTAACAGCCTTTGTAAACAATGACTTCTCTTATTGATTTCTCAGAATTCAAGGCACGCCAAGACAAACCATCATATCAATCGGGTAGGAGAAGTCTTCCTCTACTATTTGTGTCGTCGATTTGCCAGGGAGAGTCATGGCTTCCAAGAAATCATCAAGAGAAGTCACTGTTTACAAAAGCTGTTACGCCCTAATTCCAGCTCATTCGTGGCTGGATGTTCATTATCGCTTCCGTTGTTGTCAATATTAATATTCGTCTTCATCTTGATGGGGATGATTTTGAGGATCAAATGCAAAATGATTATTTTCATTTTACTCAAATATAGCGCTGAAGGACGTGCCGTGTTAGTTTTAACATACCAAACGATGGCAATTTTCGCCTCAAGCTGAACTGATGAAAAAATCCCGGTTTTAGGCTCTGGAGTCGACAATATTCTAAATAATCATTTTGCCCAAAATGAATTTGATTATTTTGCTTTTGAGGATCATTTCTGATTTTGATAATTTTGGGTTGGATAATCAAGCACTGGAGAATATCAACAAACGCATATTCGTCGATGTATAATGAACACATTTGTTAATTTCGCTTGTACGGAACAGCGAAAATTTTCAAAAGAAACGGAATTCATCTACACTGGGTTGAAGCGATACTCCTTGCGTGTGATGGTAAATGATAAAAAACAGACACTGGATGCGACAAAAAAATACTCAAATAAGCTGAAATCAAGGCAATTTTAAAAGATAAACCAACCTAAGACATGATCAGTAATATGGTTTATTTTGCTTGCTATTTATTGCGTGTTGTATCGTTAAAAATGTGTATTTTAAACATGACTTTTTTTCATTTTTAAGCTAGAAACAACTCATCACACTTAGAAAAAACTATTTATTACACGTGACGTATTGCATCTTTGACGTAATTTATCGAACATAATCAAGTATGTCATGTAAAATTAAACGTTCCGAATCGCAACACGAGTGTATTTTATTGAATCGATATTATCGATTCTTTCAACTAATTCTTTTGTCTGCACTAAAAAAATATTGAAATCTAAATAGAAAAAATGTTACGCTAAATCGCAACTCTCCGTGCCGACGCAAAGGTGAGAATGCAAACTTATTATAAAAATGGTTTATGCGTGCCATAGTATAAAATCGAAATATACTTAGACACGGTTTATTCGAGAGAATGTATTTTTCGCTTCTTTATTTTGTTTATGGTAAATATTATTGTTTTCAAATAAAAATTAAAATTGTCTCAGGAAGGTTTTTTAATAATTTTATTTTTATGATATTATTTAAAAATACTTACACTTTCGATGTACATTAGGATGAACTCGTGCTCACGCAGTCTAGCCAAAGATGAATACTAAGATGAAACTGTCGGAAGAAAAATTTTCTATTTTAGTGTCCTCTTCCACGGTCCCTTTCATCCAATGAGAACCTCCCGTATTCAAGGTAATTTTGTGGTTTTGCTGCCCCCTCGGAAGAGATGAAATTTTGCGCTCATTTTTATCAAAACAATCACACCAAAATCAGAGATGTCCCATTTTTTAATTACTCGATTAACAACTAATCGATTATTTTTTGTTCGCTGTGCTGCCATTTTTCCACCAATGAGAGTGCAGCACATGTTTGAAACGATCGGTGATGATCCTGTGGAGATGTTAATGCTTATATCGGCATGATCTAACCGATTATAAATAGTTTACTTTTCGGTTCGTTAATCGATTAAACGATTATTCGAATGAAAATCGGACATCACTAGATGAATGTGAAACGTCATTTCAAATATAATGCCGTTCATAAATAATGATACAATTTGAAAGGGACCGGGGCTAATCACAAATTACGTCTCCATGGTAACTGAAATAAACACGAGTGTTCACCGGTTGGTCTAGCTGCCCAGTTGATCACAAGCTCAGTAGAAATCCGCCGGGACGAAGCTCCGAAGAGAATCCAAATGTTCTTTTTTCCTATCATGTTAGTAAAAACTGATTGAATTCCACTCCGTTATTCGGAGTTAGTATAGTTTTGGCAAAAATTTTAATCGAACCAATGTATAAATTTTGAAAAACCATTATGCATTTTATGCATAAAATTTAATCTATATTCGTTTTGTAATATGTTTGAGTGTGCATGAGTTGGTCTCAGGGCGCCAACATGTACATGACTTGTACATGACAATTCACATTTTTGTCTAAATCGACCTTCTAGCAGTTTTTCTATCCGCTCAGATTAATACACCTCTCCTACATATATCAGAAAATTAGAACGAGAAAAACCATTTCAAATTAGAGTCCAAAAAATGAATTTGGCGAGCACTCCCGATCAAAAGTTTGAGGTCACCCCAAAAAAACATGCAAATGTTCATAGTTGGTTGGAAATGCTATCTAACATGAAGCTTTAGAGTGATAATTCATTAGCTACACGTGACGGAATCCATCTTTGACATAAAGGATGAGACGTAAACAAATATGTCATGTAAAATTAAGTGCTCCGAGACTGAAAAGATCGTTACTCGACGAAAAAAATGTTTGATTGAGCTGAATTTCACGTCTATTATGACTCAATTTTATGTCAAAATTGACGCTCGTATATGTCAGTC